TATGGCACAGAGCCTCATAGTGCCCACACAGACACACGACTCCACCACCGCTGAAACACAAAATATTACTATTTTTATTTGATAGTTAGAGCTTAATGAAAATAGAACACATCTACTGTAGCCCTAATCATATGATTACAAAGAAAATATTCAAGAAGACTGTCAAGTTCAAACCAATAATACAGTGTTGATTTGCTATTATATAAACTGTGCCTCACAATAATTATTCAAGATGTACCTATGGCTAACCCTAAATGGCCCTTGTAGTGAAACATACTGTAATGAGTTACTTTACTGACTGACTTTAAGCTTGTAATAAATCTTGGTTTTCTGTGGCATACTCTGTCAAGCATACATAAACTGGAAGTGGATGCCTGCAGGTACATTATGATACAGTGATCCATCACTGGATGAAAAATAGACAGTACCAGCTATTTCTCAGACTGTCTGATTTATGCCTGAAACAAATACAAGGTCTGTGATTCAGTCTCACCGGCATGAGCTTTCGCCTCCGTTTTTGGTTAACAAAGGTACACAAGATGCAGTCTTTGTACTAGTTGAACAAGTCATAATTTAAATATAGAAGCATAGAAAACTCACACTGGATCTTAAAGGTTTTGTGACATTATCACGACAATAGGGCTTAAAGAAAATTACAATGTATTAACAAGGTCCTCAGCATGGTACAGTGTCTTAGGTGCCCCTACATGGCTTGGTCTTCTGCCTGTCAGTCCTAACCTGTTCTGCCGGCACGCCTACAAATACTCACTGCAGACAGCGATTTGGTCACTGACTGCGTAGCTGAGGAAGCTAAGAAGGACCCGGAAAGGGCCAGTTTCATTGGGTATCACCAAAAACATGGTCGTAGAATTAAACAAGGTTGGGCAGTCAGCAAGACAGCATTCCAGAAACCAGAGGTTGGACCAAAAGTTAGATTGAGAACCAGTCAAATAAGTTCTCAGCACCAAACGAAACCAAGAAATCAGAGATGGAGTTAAAAAGAAAAAAAAAACATAACTGAGAATGCCTGACCATGCAGACAGACCACCTAAGGAAAACTAAACCTCACTACTAAGCAAGGAGACATTAGACTGAGCTGTATCGACACTGATTGTTTAGGTGTATGATTTATTTATAAGGATCACCTGAAGGTAGGGTGGCCATGAGGAACTACTACACGTATGGCGAGCTACTAAGCTGGATTATAGTCAGGCTGTGCCATATTCTGTACAACGCGGTTATGCCTAAACCATTCTGTAATTCATCATAAAAGAACTTCAGTCTAGTTCATATGTTTTTTGGCTTCCACTAAATACATAACTTTCAATTTTGAGTATCAGATTGTTTTTTTTACTACAGGAGAAATCCATAGTAATTATTGACCTGTATATTGTTGACAGTATGAGTCGCCAAATAAAAAGATCCTTCAATCTTCTGATTGCTTATCCCTGTTAGGGTCATGGTGCAGTGGGGAGCTAGACTTTTATTTAAGGGGGGGGGCAAAGGGTGAGCAAGGGTTTCTCAGAGGGGTCCATATAAATATGATAAATGAAGGGAAAAAATATTTTTCTCGTAATAAACAATGAGTTTGTAAATGTTTGTTGAATAAACACAAACATTTACAAAATCATAAACACCAATCATAAAGACCAAGCCTAATGTAATTAATGAACCTAGGCAGCTAATTAAACCCTCACATTACAGTATAGTGAGGTTGATTCAAAGCTTTAATATGACAGGCATAGCCTGCTTACATGTAGTGGAAAACTAATGACTGGTTCTCCACATATACACTTACCACACAGACTTCAAGCAAGGGCTAGTTTTGCTAAAATAATAAAACAACACTATAATTCAGCATGTGCACTAAAACATACATACGTACAAAGACGCCGTCTAAAAGACGATCTATATCAGCACGAGCAGAGCTAGTGGCTAATTTAAACGAGACATGGAGCAGACGGTGCACAACGCTTTCATGCTGCTATTTTTTATGTACTGCAAGTGTGTGACCACCTCTCATTAGGAAGGTAATACAGTGTAATATGTTATAAATACCTGCTTAACTCCTGCTGTTATCAATACCGCGGCTGTGTTTTGGATCATGTAGGTACGCGTGCCGCTGCCGGAGCTTTTAGCCAATGACATGTCAGTAAGCAGCACGCACAGGGTACTGCTGCGTCAGGATGCCTTCAGGGGCTCTCGGAAATTACAGTTCTCTGCTCAAATCTTTGCCCAATCTCCTCATTTGTATATTTTAACGTTTACTATCTCCAGCAGGGTGGCAAGGGCTCTGTTGGGGGTGGCAATTGCCACCCCTGCCACCCCTTTGGCTCCGCCCCTGTCATGGTGATGATGGGGGGTGATTCCATCCTAGGCAGCCGAGGGTATGAGGGGTTACACCTTGGATGGGATACCAGACCATCACAGGGTACATACCCACCCACACACCCACCCACACACACACACACACACACACTCGAAATCCAGATACACCAGTCACCTTAACTACAAACCAGAGTTCCTGGAGGAAACCCACACAACAGTCAATAGAGGGATTCATAGCCCCATCCCTACAAGTATGAAACAGTGATGTTACCCACTGATCCACCATACAGCTACAGAAACAGTATGTTCATAATGGTCATTTCCATTAAAGAACCCTATTATCAAAGTATCTGCAGTTCTGAACCAAGGAGCCACAGAACAAAGCAGCCTGGCTCTTTATAATGGCCAAAACCTGGGGACAGCGCTTCTCATTCCTAGGCCTTTCCCATAACTGGGAGCAAATATATTTCAATTACCATAGTTCACAAATCCGTGCCCTAGTAGGGGGGACACACAGCACAGTTCTGTATATGTATTAGCTTGATGATTATGAAGCACACTTAAGGGTTCCAGATGGCTCTGAATGGTTAAAATGTGCCTGCTGGTTATGGTAGATTTGCCCGATTGTTTTGCCCTGTTGGGCGGCACGCTGTGTGGATGCACACAGATTCTGTACAGGGAGTGTTTATGGAGTATTTATGAACCGTCAGACCGGCTGATGAGATTCTTTTTCAGATTATAGGTTTCCAGGCCGGCCCTCACAGGAACGGATAAATTGACAGTGGGGGGGGATGCTATGCCTAGAACATAATGAGATCCTGAGTAATACTTTGAATATTTTAACACCTATTACTCCAATGGCATTTCATTTCCAGAAGTATGGCCAACGAGCTCTTCGTAGTGTAGTTGCCCTCAACACACCTCGCCGCTCGTCCTGTGAATAAGCAACTTCGCCTTATGTTAATCAACAATCGGTCCCGCCACCCTTATTTTTTATTTATTTTTTTCTCATTTCCAAATAAATTTGAGCAAGAAAAGAACAGGGAATTAGTCTCTCTGCAGATGCTTGCAAGAATCTAGTGGCTTCTGTGTAGTGAAGCCCTGCATACAAAACATGGCTCTAAATCCGGGGGGCGTGGGGAAGGTGGCATAGTGTGTTTTTGATATTTAATAATTTTTGCTTTGTTCCCCAATCAAGGGAATACAAAATATATATATTTGTTTGGAAGCACTTTAGAATTCCAATTTTACCTAATTATTCAAACTTATAGTTACATTCTAATTTTCTTCCTAGTAACTATGAGGATACTGATTACGGCACTCCCAATACTGGCTTACAACAAAGCTGAGACAATGAATTTAAAATGCCCTACTGTGTATGTGTCATGCCGCTCAGTCCTATAACTTTTGTTTTTTTTGATTTGCGGCTAAGCCCATGGCTTTCCCTCTCAGCCTAGAGGTTCTAAGAGATGAAGACCTTTCAACGGCTGAAAGATCCTCAGTCGCGTTAGAATTCAGGCCCTTGAGTTATAAACACCACACAATGCCGTCGATAACCACAGATTTCTCAGGGAAGGTTATCACCAAGCTATCTGCAGGATTAAGAGATGAGTGATTTAAAAATGAAAGCAGTGGACTTAGGTCCCAGAGAGCGATCTCCTGCACTCTGCTCTAGCCTGAACTCCGTAAGTAAAAGATTTAGCTGAAAAAATGGGTAAAATAATCACTTTTGATTAAAATGCCTATTAAGCAATACATTTCTACACAGCGAAAATGGCAATGGTGAACAATTTAGATAAAAAAAATATGGCAGACAGACAGGAACAGGATCTATAATGAACTTTTTTTTAAACGAACAATAGAGGAGTGCAAGCAGGCATCCTCCGAATGGGTCACAGGTCACAAAGCTCTGATGAAGTTGGCACTCTGGTTTTATTATTATTTAAATATCAGCTGGCTGCTATTAAGGGAAAATAAAGGATTATGTTTAATTACAATAAATTTGCCTGTCAAGCCCACAATTATTCTGTTACTATGCAAATTGCTGTTGTTCTTATTAGCCTGAAAGAAAAATGCATCGGATTAACGGAATCATAATTGTATCAAATGATGAATGCTGCAGGGACTGTGGTGGTTACTGCCTTAATGTCCACACACACGGCTGGGACACTCCTTCCGAGTGAAACAGATTGATGTCTGTTTATTTGGAATGAGATGCGAGAGGTGAGGTCTTCGCTCACGGCCCCCATTAGGAGTCCCGCAGCATTTGTCACAAGCCGAGGAGGTGTTAACTCCTGTGCCCTGGCTGAATTCCCAATCCTAGGTTCAGCTCACCCATTTAATCACCCCCAAGACTAATTAGCTCTTTTAATCCTTGCTTATTCTCCGTTACTGATGCCGTTTGAGCGTTTCCTTTTATAATAGCTGCTTTGCATCAGCAATGTAGGTGCTGTGCACTTTTGGTAATTCACCCCTTTAGTGTCACACACAACGATATTGTAATCCATTTAAAGGCAGCACTAGGATGGTAGTGGTTATTGCCACATTCATGTAGCTATGATGACGTAACAGCATGCAACCTAAGACAGGCTTCAGTGTCTGTTCTCATGGAACTGCAGCTCTCAGGTTAAGGCTAATGAATATTTGATAAATGCTGTCTAGGTGACACTTGCCTCCCCGGAGAAGGCCTGTCCGTTGAGGAGATGCTCAGAGCCCTGGCCATCCTCGCTGCCGAAGTGTAGCCGGATCTCCTCCAACCGGTGGCTGTAGGTCATTGGCCCACCAGAGATGTTCACCAGATGCTCTTTATCAAGGCGCAGAGAGACGTGACGCCCGGTATTGTACATAGTCCCACCCACCTGTAGGGGGCACAATCATAAGAAGAAAAGGAGCACTGATCATCAGTACTTTGACAGCTGTCCTACAAGCTGGCCGGATTTTCTGGAAGGCGTGTGAATCTCACCAACATATCAATAAGTATGGGACAGCGACTGACCAAATCTGTCATGCTCTTTTGTAAGGAAGTGCTACCCAACAGTGCAATTCTGTAATACAGATTGATTATATACATAATTGAGAAATCAGACTTTAAGTGATTCAATCAGGAATCGTTGACCATAACAGGATTACATATCAGTTGTGGGATCAGACCATCCACAAAAAACAAAGCCTGAGAGCAGAAAGGATGATGCTACATCAACACCGGGAAGTTAAAAAAACAAGTGGAGCATACAATCAAATGTAAAGACTCAGAATTGAGCAAAGGGATGATTGGATCTGAGCTTATGACGGGAAAACGCAATGATACAATGGCTATGAATAATGATCTTTATCATTGCCTGTGTTTATTTATTTATATTCCAAAGTAGTTTTAAGAAGAAGCATTGATATTCTGAGCAGACCTCTAGCAGGCCTTGCATGGCTCTTATCTTGTTCGTTCTTTTTTCCCTTTTAGCACTTGCCTTCAAAATGATTTTCCCTCTCCAAATTCCCAGAGAAAGGACCCTGCCCACACATCGTAAATATTTTATAGAACCTCTGAAAAATCAATGATTTGAAAGGGGATGGAGAGAGTAAGAGAGGGAGAGAGCAGGAGAGGGTGTGGGAGAGAGACCTAGAATTAAAATTGAAATAGGTATAGCAAAGAAAGTATTGTGGCATTTACAAAGATTACCACTGTGTGGAGTTACCTTGGCTTACAAGACACTGTCCGGGAAGAGATGAGAAAAAATGACCCCCTCTGCATTATGAATGTGGCCAATTCAGACCACATCCAGAATGCCATAACATTTAAATGAACATGTGTAATACACACACAAACACTGCCCATTTCGGACAGAGCTACATAACAAGATTACATTTATGGAAAAACCTACCAGAGACATTTTAACCGCAGTTATGTAAACAACTACATGCTAATTAAAATTTAATTTTTGTTTATTAAATATAAATATGACATTGACTTGTGGCCTTGCAAAATATCGTGTGAAACCATGTTTATTTAATTAACATAATTTTGAAACAATTTGTTAAATAAATTATTGCAATTTCAAATAGCTAGAGAAAGTTACAATATTAAGATGAAGCGCTGCCAAATCATAGTTAGGGCAGGAAATTTTGCTTCAAGAGATAATAAAAAAAAAATCTGAAATCAAAAAGGAAAACCAGCATACAGTATTTTTCATAGTGGCCTCTGTTTGTTATAGGTGTTCAGATTGAGTTTACCATTTAACACAGAACATGAAAAAATGAATCAAAATTCTTTGTCTTTTTTTGTGCCTTTGGCACGTACTGAAACCATGAAATATGTTTTATCTTCCATTTGTATTCCTTCATGTGTGTAAAGTGTTAATGTTAATAGACTGACATCAATTATTGCTTATGCATTTTGAGTGGTGATTAAAACTGAAGATTCGGTCTAATAAGCGAGAAGCTATTCTTCATTTTCTGGCCATGATTTGTAATAATTCATACAATATCAAAAGAGTGGATGTTTTGCTGCGTTGCTACATTTATGCAAAGCATAATACATTGCACTGACAAATTCAAATTACCGGAATTGCCTAGCTATATCTCCTGCTCTATTCATGCTGAGCAAAAATGACAGTTGACTAAGACATAGAATCAGAAGGAAAAACCTGTAGAGTGTAATCTGTGGTGTTTATAGCATTCAGATGGGGCAGCATGGCTCACTGGGTAGCACTGTTACCACATACCTGCACCCCCCCATCCCCCCCCTTCCAGAGTTGGGGGTTTAAATCCCCCCCTCACCATGGGTGTGTGGGATGTGCCCCATGTCACACAAGTATCCTGAAAGACATTCGATTAGGGTAACTGCTGTCACTAAGTTGCTCATCATGTGAGATCTGTGATGGACCAGTATCCCATCCTAGGTGTGACCTGGCTGGCATAAGTGGTAGAAGAATGGGTGCTTTTAAAATATCAGCCTGCGTTATTATGACTCATAAAACTTCCGATGATTTTTTTTTTCTTTCAGTCAAAAAACAATAAAGGCCATGATGGTGGCTCACTGGCATCTCCATCATTGGGGCTTTGGCTCTCACACTTGGTCGGCTGGTTGCTGTGAGGTTTCCTCTCCGTACTCTGTCTTCCTCCACTAGTCGATAGATACTTGGTTATCCTACTGTAAATGGCAGCACTAGATTTCCCATAGTGTGTAAGTGTGCGCGCCCTGTTCACAATTACTAGCATCCTGATCAGAGGTTTCCCTTGTCAGGTACCCTATGCTTCCTGGGTCGGGTTCTGGTTCCCTGGGGCCCTGCACTACATAAGTGTTTGGAAGATGGGTAGGAAGAAAATAAAAGAGCACGATACCGGTAACACATATTCATCGATTGTGGAGATTAGAACTTCCTACATAGTGACTCATTTAAAGACAAGAGTGACCCCGTGAACTTTCAGTGCTGATCGAAGCTGCCAATAAAAGAACAATGGACTGGGTGCATTGGACTGATTTTGCAGCATGCGGAACGAGAGCAGACTGTTGCATTCAAAAATACTGAAAAACTGTGTCACCCTAGCTTGCTGAGTGTTTTTTTCTCAAAATTATTGAATACACAAGAGCAAAAATGGCATTTTCAAGACCAGGATATGATACAGTATTTGGACAAAATGAACCATCCGCCAGTCTTTCACGGTGCTCAGCAACCGGTCTGTGTGGGAGTTCATCTTTCCAGATATATCTAATGACTGTAATTCTTTCCAATCTCCTCTGCATAGTATAAGAAGGAAAAAAATGACCAGACAAAAATACACACGGGGCTGTTTATCTGGACAACGATGTAGTGCATTTGGCAATTTTACACCATCTGTTTCGGTTAAAAACAATTTTATTAAGCGAGTCATTAAAATGAGCTTTATTCATCAACTGTACAGAAACTAGCTCTCAATTAAGATTTGAGAAACAGTGTTGAAAAAGTAAAACACTTTGGAAAGATGCCCTTTTTGTTAGGGTCAGCTCCTGTTGTTTGTCTTTTATGTCCCTTCCCTGTTTGGCCTGCAGGCGTCGCTGGCCATCCTGTCCCTCCTGTCAGTCTTTGTGTTTCCATTGCTCCCTGTCAGCTGCATGGCTCAATGTGTTGCGCACATCCCTTTGTCGCGTGTTTAAATCCTGCCTCCTCTGTTTTTGTATTTCGTTCCCTAGTGTTTCATTTTTTGTGATTTCTACAGTGGTACCTCAGTTCTCAAACTCATTAGAACTCAAATTTCTTAAAAGTCGAACCAACCAGTTAAAAAAAAAAATGACCTAGAAGTCGATCTGAATCTCAGAAGTCAAACCGTGAATGCCGACCTAAGATACTGTAACTTGTACGTGCAGGGAAATGAGTCACGCGGCATGTCTGTCAGCGGAAACAAAGGGTAACGATTCAGTCTCAGCCTCGCATTCGCTGTGATAGCATTGTTTGTTGGTGATAGTGCTTTTTTTTTTTATTGAAAATACTGTATGAGGTAATACACTGTACTTTATATCATTTTGGTAGCCATTGCTCACCAAAAAGTTATGCAATAGTTGTACAAATGTTACAACCTAAAAGTTGCGATTTACGAACAAATTAACGAATACAGAGTAATAATAAAAATAAACAATGGACCGCATGGCATAGTCTCGTGTTGGAGCAGTGTTGGGACATGGCTTGGGGTTGTCACGATCTGCCAAGCCTGGACCAGGGAAGCAGGGACAGGACTCAAGCGATCGGGAAACACAGGGTTTAATTCAGAACAGGCAGAACAACACAATGACGTTACAATGGCTGGACTGGGGCAACAAACTGAAACGCGGACTAAATACAGAAGACTAATGACAACAACCAGAAACAGCTGATCACACAGGGATTCCACACGAGGTTAACGAGGGGGCGTGGCACACGGAAGGCTCGGACGATCGGGGCAGGACAGGGGTATGTAATGTTGGGGTACAGTCTTTATCGTTTTGGAAGCCATTAAGAAAAAAATGCTCTTCTTATTTTATCCTGTTCATTTTGTGTTTGAATGCTAAAAAAAACATATTTAGGTGTAATTATTTCGGGCTAGGAACCAATTAATTGGTTTTCCATTATTTCTTTTGGGGAAAATTTGATCATTACTCGAACTTTTTAGGATTCAAACCCAAGTTCTGAGGTACCACTGTATTTGGTTTTCGTTTCATTCTTTATGCCTGTGCTTTTGTTTCTATCTATCTGTTATTCCCTTAGTGTAGATTCCTTGTTTCTAGTGGTTTCCTTGTTTCTGTCAATGTCTTAGTTTTCCCCTCCCAGTCCCTGAGTTAATTAGTTCCACCTGTTGCCTGTTCTTGTGCCTGCCCTTGTGTGTTTTCCTGATTGCTCGTTGTCCTGCACCCTCCCCGATTGGTTAATTGTCTATGTCTCACTCCTGCTGTCTCGTTACCCAGTTCAGTTTTCATATTTAAATTCCTGCCTGATTTCAGTTCCCCAGTGGTTCATTGTTGTTGGTTTGCTGTTTGGTGAATGAATGAATGAATGAATGAATGAATGAATGAATGGAAGAAGGGAAGAAGGGAAGGAGGGAAGGAGGGAAGGAGGGAAGGAGGGAAGGAGGGAAGGAGTGAAGGAGTTTGGATGTTCTGTTATTTGTAGCCTCCCTGCCTACCCTTTGTTACCCTGACCCGATTGGAAATTAGTCTTTGCTTATCCCTTTTAGTTCTGACCCCTCGAGGTCTTTTTTTGTTTGTAGTGTTTTCTGTTTTGTTCAATAAACCCCTTCTGTTCCTCTGAGCCGCAAGTGGGTCGTCCACATTTCTGTTCAGCCTGCATAGTGCCTCGCCATCGCCCCAAATCCGCCCGGATCCTTGACACTTTTCTGATTGTAGTTTACATAAAGA